GGCATTCTCAGGGGCTGGGCAGCAGGAAGGTGCTGTGCCTGCCAGTTGCCCTGTGGGCAGAGGTGCTCAGTGGGGCTCGAACAAGGTCTGCTGGCTGAGTGGAGCCCGGGGCCGGGAGGCCTCCGAGTCAGAAGGTGGTCAGGCCACCAGCTTGGAGAGCTGTTGCCGGGTCAGCGGTTGTCCAGGGCGACACAGCTGCTGGCCCAGGGAGAGCTTGGCTCATGGCCACACAGCTCAAGTAGGGCCCCACGGGGCATTTGGGAGGGGCTCCGTGACCTTGAGGGGTGACTTGCCCTCTGCCTGGCCCCTGGTCTGTCAGCTGGGAGGGAGTGACGCACGCGAGCGGGTGAGCGCCTTCGAGGCCTGGCTACAGAAGGCTCCGGCTGCAGGCAGTCTTCCCTCGGGCTGTTTCCTGGTCACTGAGGGCCAGGCCTCGGGGGTGACCTAGGGGACAGCTGAGTGAGGGAGGAGCCGCCTGCACACCTTTCAGCTCTGGGTCTGGTGTGACCACTCAGAGTGGACAGGCCCCCTAGCCTGGGAGGCAGGTGGCTGAGCTGCGGCGCCCTCTGCTGGCGCGCCAGGTCCAGTGCGCTGCAAGTGGCTCTTAGGAGAGCTGCCTGGCTCTTGGCCTCGATGGGGCCTCGGCAGGTCCTGGCCAGCACAGCGTCCGAGTCCGTGCCGGGGGTCGCTCTTTGGCTGCGCCTTTGCCATCCCTTTCCTGAAAACCTTTCCGTACATGGAGGCCAGGCCCGTGCTTTCAGGAGGGGCCAGCCTCGCTCACCTGGACGCTCTCTCTCTGCGCAGGTCGCACGGGGCAGGCGGTCGCCGTTCGAGCCAAGGCCTTTGGCTTCAGCGTCATCTTCTACGACCCCTACTTGCAGGACGGGATCGAGCGGTCCCTGGGCGTGCAGAGGGTCTACACCCTGCAGGACCTGCTGTATCAGAGCGACTGCGTGTCCCTGCACTGCAACCTCAACGAGCACAACCACCACCTCGTCAACGACTTCACCATCAAGCAGGTGCGGGCGCCTGGCCCGGCTCGTCGCAGCCAAAGGGGAGGGCAGGGCCATGGGCCCCCGGAGCAGGGAAGTCCCCGAGGCACAGCAGTGAGGCCCCCGTGGGGTGGGGCAGCCTCCAACACGACAGACAGAGCCAGGCTTCCCGCTCGAGTCCCTCCAGGGTCAGCAGAAGCGGACATGAGGCTCCACGCTCCGCCTCCTGCTGCCTCCGCCCGCGCTAACGCTCTTCCTGCCCCACAGATGAGGCAGGGGGCCTTCCTGGTGAACGCGGCCCGCGGCGGGCTGGTGGATGAGAAGGCCTTGGCCCAGGCCCTCAAGGAAGGCAGGATACGAGGAGCAGCCCTCGACGTGCATGAGTCGGAGCCTTTCAGGTGGGTCTGGCCGCCTGAGCTCTGAGTCCACCTGGCGCCACACTTGGGGGCACTTTCCCAGAAGACAGGCCCCGGGTAGGAAAGCAGACGCCCTTTACAGGCGCCTTCGAGGGCTGTAGTGCGTCCTCACAGACTGGAAAGGCGCCAGAAGGTCCCCAAAGGGAATCAGCTAAGGACGAGGCAGGGAAATGGGTGGTTTGCTTGGTCTGCAGACGCAGCTCACAGGCCGACCTCCGGGCCTCAGGGGTCCTTCTGTGCGTCCCTGGCCGCTCCTGCCCCTGGGGTCACAGCGCAGCCGTGCCAGCCTCCCTGCCCCTCCCCCCCCCAGGGGTGTGCGGCCAGCACCTCAGGGCCATGCTCTGTACCTTCCTCCAGCTTTGCTCAGGGGCCCTTGAAAGATGCGCCGAATCTCATCTGCACGCCCCACACGGCCTGGTACAGTGAACAGGCCTCACTGGAGATGCGGGAGGCCGCCGCCACGGAGATCCGCCGCGCAATCACAGGTGAGCCGGCGCCCGCTCATCCCGTCACATGCGCAGAGAAGAGGGGTCATGGGGTCTGCTGTGGGCAGACATCAGCTTTCAGGCTGGTTGAGTTTTGAGTGGGTTGTGCATGTCCCCAACGAACTCAGAGGAAACCGATCCCTCTCAGGCCACCGTAGCCAGTGCACCCCGGACGGGGCCCTCCCCCAGGGAGCAGGCCTCCTCTCTGTCCTGGCTGCCGCCGGGCTGGAGAGCTCAGGGCCCCAGAGGCTCCCTCCCCTGGAGTAGATTCGCTGTCAGATCTGTCAGCACAAACCACACAGGCTCTTCCCCGGAGCCGCTACTGAGTCTGATATTAAATCCCGATGCCCCTCAGGAAGCATGTAACCGTCTCGTTCCAGGTCGCATCCCCGAAAGCTTAAGGAACTGTGTGAACAAGGAACTCTTTGTTACAACGGCTCCTTGGTCAGTAATAGACCAGCAAGCAATTCACCCAGAGCTCAATGGTGCCACTTACAGGTGAGGCTGCGGGAGGGACGCGACACGGGCAGCGCACCCCACCTGGGCTGCAGGAGCTCCTCCTCCTCCCTCGGGGGAATCCCACCCTCTGCCCCCCACTCCTCCCAGGCCTCGGGGTCTGAGCACTGCACAGGGAGCCCCCTTTATTCCGAAGCCCCTTCACAGCCAGGTTTCCGGCGGAAGGACTGAGCCTGTTAGTGACTTCGCTTTTCTGGCCAAAGACCAGGGAGAGGGGGGTCCACAGAGACTGAAGTCAGTGCACAGACACAGGCAGGGGCTTCCCAGACTCTCCCCTATACAGAGGCGCTGCAGCCTTAGCCCCAGGAGGACATGGGACACACGGTCCTGGCCTGCCCTGCGCGTGGGGGTCGCAGCGGAGTAAGCAGCCCTGGCCCCGTCCCTCCTTGACGCAGACCTTGGCCCCCAGCACAGCTGAGCTCCAGTGCTCACAGGCCCCGTGCCAGAGTCCTCCTGCGTCCTCCCTCGGACTCTCCCCGCGTCGGCACTGAAAAGCCCTGCCAGGGGCGGAGCGGCTCCTGCAGGGAAAACCAGAGTAAAGGAGCTGGTGACAGAACAGTTCTAAATCCGCGTCGCCAACCTTTCCGACCTCACGGACCACGGGTTGGCGACCACTGTTCTAAATGGCTGCCTCCAAGTATGACACTGGGCTCACTGTGCGTGTGAACCCCGCGCCTGTGCTGGAGGCTAAGTGCTCCGTGTCCTCACACGACGCGTGCTGCCAGCACAGGCCTGCTCTCTGCCTGTCACACACCAGCAGCCAGGGCCACATCTAGTTGGCGAGGCCTCCACTTTGCTGGGGATCACATCTTGTGCAGGTTCCCGCATGCGGGCAGAGCTGGGGGTATTCCCATCGTCTGAGAGCAACAGAAGCAGCCCCATGTTGTGATCAGAGAAAAGAGGCTTTGTCGTTGGTGACTTACGTCAGTGTTTTAGTTTTCACACGGGTTCCTCCTTGCTTTGGGGATAGGAAGGCAGACAGATTATAAAAGACCATTTCCTGCCCTGGACTTACCTGCCCTTCTCTGTGCGCCTTAGATACCCGCCAGGCATCGTGGGCGTGGCCCCGGGGGGGCTTCCTGCTGCCATGGAAGGGATCATCCCCGGAGGCATCCCCGTGACGCACAACCTGCCCACAGTGGCACACCCTTCCCAAGCGCCCTCTCCCAACCAGCCCACGAAACACGGGGACAGTCGAGAGCACCCCAACGAGCAGTAGCAGAGGACAAAGGTCAGAAACCTGGGACCAAGAGACCGTGGACAACGGAGGAGCCAGAGGAGGGGAGTGTGACCGGCTCTAACTGGTCCTGGGCCTCCGCACACTGACATCAGCGTTAGAAGACAAGAGCGAGAAGCCGCGGCGTGGGAAAACGGAAGATGCCTTCTGCTCACGGAGGGGCCCAGAATGACTGGACGTGATTAATTACGACCAACTTCTGTTATTGTGTGTTAAGTTCTTCATCTGTGCATCAAATCACAAAGAATAGATCTTTTTCCTTTATCAGCCCCTGGGGCACAGCAGGTCCTGGACACCTGGCTGTAGAGAATGTTGCGTCAAGAGTTCGAAACGTCAAAATAAAAACTATTCAGAGACGGTCCCCGTCCTGCGACTCTCCCTTGGTCCCCGGGGCTGGCCACCTCTTTGCTAATAGGAAGATCGCGTTACTACGGAACCGGGAGAAACTGCTGGCCTGGGTCAGACAGCTCGCTGCAAGCACGGATGGAAGACAGTCGCTCCTGGACAGAAATCTCCCGCCCGAACTGCATACTGAACGGGTGAGCAGTTGTGAGTTCAGTAACACCCTCTAATGATGCAAAAAAAAAAAAAAAAAAGTATTAAGTTTCACAAGCTGTTTGTACTCAAATATATTTTCTCAGTTCAGATCCTCAGCTATTTTATTGAGTGGAAAGTCTTGAACTGAAAGGGTTCAAGAAGAATAATGTTGCATTTCCTTATGTCTCAGGAAACACTTTTTATGGTAACTTGTCAGATTGTCTATGAACAAACCCACTTTTTTAGACATTGATAAAATCTTCTTTTCTTCACGTAATATTTTATACAAGAACACTTCAGGTGTGTTATTAGATGTGACTGATTTTAACAAATCCTATTAGATTTGTATCAACTAGTTACATGTTATATTCATAGTCTTTTGTGAATCATTGCCTTTTTGTTTAAAAGATGGCCTATTTTGAGCCTTTGTATAGGTACATTCCTGTTTTTGTGACAAAAACCTTTAAAACTGTCCCAAACAGAAAAATAATGGCTGTCAGAGATGTTTTGTTTTAGTGTGAGTTACCGTTACTGTATTTGTTTATTGTAAAGGTGGACATTTAGCGCTCGGTGCAGTTTTCAATAAAAATAAAAATTTCAGTTCTGAAATTCACGTGCATCTCACCAGTGCACACTTTCTCTGCTGAGATGTCCCAGGACCTTCAACCTGCCTCCTGCACAACCAGACTCCAGGGGCTGACAATGGCCGCGTGTGAGCGTTTACTTGAAAAAGCAAAACCCCACAGAAGTCCCTCAGTGTCAGTCAGAGGAAACAGTGGGTGAGAACTAAGTCAAATCAAGAAACAAAATGGTCAAGTTGGAGAGTTCTGATTTTTAATTTACCCAAAAGCACAATCACCTGATGCAGGAAGGAAGGTTTACAAAGAAACGTTGCAAAGTGGTTAACATCAGCCATTCCTTCTGTTAACAGCGTAGTCACTGCCCTTGTGCTAGTGCATCTGCAAGCGCCCTGCTTCCAGGCCCCACATTCCTGGAGCCCCTTCCTCACCCTCCCTTCCCCTGTAAGAAGCATCAGCCTCCTGACTGGTTTTCAGGTGCAGCCCCAGCGCCAGCCTCTCTGGTCAGTCACGTTGACACCACCTCACGGGGACGGGGTCCGGGAGCGGCAGCACAGTCCCCGGGGACCGCAGGTCAGAGGCAGGCAGGGCAGAGTGGGGCCGGCAGAACTCCCTGCACAGATCGGGCCGGGGCACAATGAGCCCGAGTCACCCAAAAAGGCAGGTCCGTTCCACGTGCGCCGGGTTTTCATTAGACCAGAAACCACTCCCCGTATCCTCCCTAGAAAAGGCCACACAGTCAAGGTGTGACTGTCCAGTCAACCAACACACGCACATACAGCGGGCCCAGCCACAAGACTTCGGGAAGGGCAACACATTCTCGGGAAAACAAATATGGCTTTTGAATAGTTCAAGAGCTGAACATGGCATTGATCCCCCCAAATGCTGGCCTTTCCAGCCACCTGCTGGGAGGCCACGGGGAGCCCAGGGCCCTGGCACCGACAGTCCCGTCCCACAGGGAAGAGGCTGTGCTGAGCACTGAGGTGACAGGCTCCTCGGGAAGCAACCCCCCGCAGACCAGACACGCTCCTGGGCCGGGCCCTCTGGGCAGTGCGGCTGCGGGGAGGCCACACGACCAGATGCTTTAACCTCAGGCATCGCTTTGGCCCTGCAGTTGGGAGGGCAGTGTGCATACCGCAGCTGCACCAGGGTCTGCCCATAAAGACGTGCTCATGGGGGGACGTTTATGGAGATGCTGGCACTAAGTAGAGTGTCTGCTGCTAAAAAAAATTACCAAAATGAAAACAAACCACAAAAAGTCAGTTTGTAATAAAGGTTTACCCACTTAGAACAGCACGTTCACCTTTCTTGTAACGTATCGGAATTCGTTTTTATGGAGTCACGTTGCGTGCAGCAAGGGGTCATTTGGTCCTGGGCACAGAGGGGGAAAGAGCTGAATCGCCAATCACACCAGCCAGCCCTGGGCATGCGCCTGGCTTTAGTGTTCAAGCTCGCGCACACCCAGTGCCATCCTAACCAGAACTCGGGAAAATAAGCAAAAATTCCAATGTTTTCACAGCCTTTTCATCAAAAGGAAGGAAAACGTGTGTAGGCTGAGGTGCTGCTTTCTGAATTCTCTGCTGCATCGACCATCTACTGGTCAGGACACTAAGTCTGTGCCTGAGAGGGTCTGAGACCCTGACCCGTCTGAATGGGTGGGAGACCTGAAGTGGTCACCGAACACTTCTTATAGAAAGTCCTTCTTACCTGAGATGATAGTTTTAACTGTAAACAAGAATGCCCACAAGTAACCAACATTCACAGACTCGGACTGCTCACTGCGAAACTCATTAAGACAATGCACTGACCGCCTTGCTGCATTTTAAATCTTTATTCTGTACTGAACTGCTATTCCCAAGTAGCCCAAGCAAAGGCATGCCTTCTAACACAATGTGCTTAAAGCAGAGCTGAGGATACAAGACACCAGGACCCGCGCCTCCACGGGGGCTGGAGCACACGCTGTCCACCGCGTCCAGTGGGCAGGCGCGAGCGCGCCCCTGCCTGCGTCCAGGAAAAGCCGCTCCCGGAGATGCTGCCTGGCGTCTGGCAGAAGCGCCCGCACTGTAAGGGCACGCTTCCAAACGAATAAATACCGAATACTGAAAGGGGCATGTCAGCAACAACAGGAACAAACTAACAGCACACGAAATGAGAGAAACCAAAACAAGGGAACAACGTCTAGATGTTCATTCAATAAAAAATTCTTACTTTCCTTGTAGTTTGTTCCTTAAAGATTTGATTTTATTGGGCACAACAGGAACTAAATTATTAATAAAATAAGTTTGTTTTATTTTTATGTTTTGCTGTGGTGGACAATTTGTACAAAAAGTTTGTAATCTCTAAGGAGCTCGATTGAGACTCGATGTAAATGGATCTTTTACGATGGAAAGAGGATGCCAGGTTCTAGTTTAAAAAAACATCTCAAAGGAACAAAGCCGTGTGCCTGTGCCCTTGGAGGTGCCCATGCTGAACACTCCGCAGGGACATGGAGATGCTGGTACAACTGCTCCTATTACACAAGTTCTTACACAACCACATGCGTGACATTTATAGACAGATTGACGCCTGGAAAGGAAGAGTTCTGTCTGAATGAATTGGTTTTTACAAACTGGAGTCCAAACCAAGTTCTGTCCTCGCTCGGCAGACGCGCCACCGCCGTCGGGTGTGGATCAGCCCTCCAGGCAGGCCCTGCGGTCGCTCGGGCCCATGCCATGCCTCTGCCTGGAGCACCACACTCCCTGGGGGTCACCACAGAGCCGATACCTTGGTCTCCCGCTCTCTGCTCTGTTCATTCGTCTTCGTCGTCTTCATCTTCCTCTCCATCAGACAGGGATGTGCAAGGCCGGATCTGCCGGTAGCGGTCCAGCCACTTCTCGACCATGTGCGTGACCAGGGGGTGGCTGCGCCGCCGAGAGCTTTTCTGCATGGCGACCAGCACGCCGCCCTCGGTCACGCAGCAGTCCAGCCACTCGCGCAGCAGCCGCTCCTGCTGCTCCTCGTTGCCCAGCTGCAGAGCGATGGGGGGAAGGGAAGCAACGCGAGGTCAGACTCCGCTGGCTCCCAAACTAAAGGCCAAAGCAACTCCCTGTCTTCACAGGGTTTCAACCTCGCACCAGTTTTATAAACTCAGCCTCCTGCGGCCAAACAGAAACGACATCAACAGGGAAGTTCGCAGAGACCGCGAGGGACCTGACATACCAGCAAAGGCCGTCTGATAAACTAACCCTGGCAAAGAGCAGGCGAAGGAGCCACGGCTTCAAACACAAGGCAAGTCACTCAGCCCGTGGCGTACAGGCTGACGCTGCAAAAACCATGCTCTGTGAGTTCCTTCCTAATGTCGCTACAAGCTTTATGCTTATGAGCATGTGAAGTAAAGCAATGCTTCCGTGAGCCTGCGGGTTTCCAAGTGTGCTTCCGCACGCTCTCCCACCTCCGGCCTGTCCACACCACCTTCTCCCTGCACCTGCCAGGTCTCCAGCCTGGGGTCCTGCCCACGCCACTGCCCTGCGGTCTAGTCACTGAGCAGCGGGCTCCTCCTCGGGGCAGGCTGGCCACTGGAGTCCCCGCTTCCCGAGTCCAGGCCACGCTGAGCCGCCCTCTTCCTGCCCAGCTCCTCCCGCTCCCAACTCGGGTGTCACTTCCTCGTGACGCCTTCCCTCACCACCTTCTTCAGTCAGAAACCCTGTGTCGCCCGCGCACCGCCTGGCCCCTCAGCCGGCCCAAGGGCAGGGGCTCCCGTCCTCACTCCATGCTGTCCCCGCAGCACACCCTGCACAGCCGCTGACCAGCATCCAGAAAGCGACCATCACAACCCGGTCCCAATGCACCGGTGCCCCTCGCTGCGTGGGGGCACGGCGTCCCCACGCGCAGTGGCCGGAAGGGCAGGGCTGCTTACCTCCTGAGCAGAAAGGAAGTGCACGTGGAGTAACTTCCGCTCGCTGTCCACCAGAGGCAGGAAGGTGATGGTGACGTCGTCGTCGGTGTTCAGGTTAGCACCAGCACCTCGGCTGCCATAGCCGTCATTTTCCATGGCAACCAGAGCAGAGAAGTGGCCCCTTGTATAGCCCAGGGCGATTGGACTTTTCCAACAGAAACTCTGTTCCCACAACAAAGGCAAATACACACCTGGGAGGAGAGAGTCAAACCGATTTGCAGTTGCGGCTGCGACGGCAGGGCCCCCCTCGAGTGAGCAGGGCCTCCCCCCGGCCAGGGGCTCACCTTGGAACCGAGTGTACCCCAGCGTTTCTCCCCGGAAGCTCTTGTAGAACTTCACGCCGTAAACGATGATCGGGCGCCTGAGGATGTGCGCAAGCACGAAGATGTGTGTCTGCTCCAAGCTCGCTCCAGGCTGCGCAGAGCAAAGCGAAGTCATTTCTCTGGCAACACTGGTCCCCACACCCTGGGACGCGTAGGGCGCGACGTGGCGCCTCCGACCTCTCTCTCGATTCCTTTGCAAACCAATCTGTCCAGCTGAAGCAGCACTGGGTCCCCAACAGCCAGTCTGCGTAGGCACCCCACACCCTCCCCACCCCCGAGTCAACCCGGCTGCTCACACCCAGGGACGAGGTCCGCAGCCCGGGGCCCTGGTTCACACCGCCTTCCGTTCGGTTCCCACAGAGTCGGCCCACAAGGGCCTCCGCACGGAAAGACGCGGCTACTTCCTACACACTGACTGGCAGCACCCTCACTGCAGACACCCCGGCCCACCTTCCCCTGCAACGGCTCTGACAGCACGTTTTCAGGAGGCGCACGTCGCAGAGGTGGAACGGCCACTCCCACAGCTCACTTCTAGCAGCCCACTCCCCGCTGCGAAGACATGACTCTAGGCACCTTCTCTGGCCTCAGTCACAGGAAGAGAGCCTCCCTGGGGGCGTTAGCGAGACCTGGACTTGACCCTCAGGGCCAGAGGGCTCCGCACCAGCGTGCCCACTACCAGCCCCATGACCCGGTGAAGTCTCCCCTCAGACACAGGACGGGAGCTCACCAGCAGGCGTGGAAGACGGGCCTGGAGCCGCCTTTCTGAGAGGAAACACAGATGAAAGCAATCCGAACACACGCGCAGTGCTTACACACACACACGCACGCACACAGTGCTTACACATACACACGAACACAGTGCTTATACACATACACGCAGTACTTACGCACACGCAGTGCTCACACACACATGCAATACTTACACGCACACTGCTTACACACACACGCAGTGCTCACACACCGCACAATGCTTATACACATACACCCAGTGCTTATACACATACACACAGTACTTACGGCACACGCACAGTGCTCACACACACACAGTGCATACTTACACGCACTGCTTACACACACACGCAGTGCTCACACACACACGCACGCACACAGTGCTTACACATACACACGAACACAGTGCTTATACACATACACGCAGTACTTACGCACACGCACAGTGCTCACACACACATGCAATACTTACACGCACACTGCTTACACACACACGCAGTGCTCACACACACAATGCTTATACACATACACCCAGTGCTTATGCACACACAGTGCTTACACGTGCACACACACAGTCCTTACACGCACGCAGTGCTTACATACACGCAGTGCTTACACACACACGCAGTGCTTACACACACACGCAGTGCTTACACACACATGCAATACTTACACGCACACTGCTTACACACACACGCAGTGCTCACACACACAATGCTTATACACATACACCCAGTGCTTATGCACACACAGTGCTTACACGTGCACACACACGGTCCTTACATGCACGCAGTGCTTACACACACGTGCGTGGTGCTTACACACGGAGCTTACACACGCGCTTACACACGCGCGGTCCTTACATGCACGCGGTGCTCACACACACACACACACACACACACACACACACACGGTGCTTAAACACACACATGCAGTGTTTAGCATCCCAGTCCGACGTCACCGGACAGCCTGCACCCCTCAGTGAGGAAGCTGTCACTCCCGCTCCGCAGCGGGGACCTCTATGGCCACAGAGTCAATGAACAGCGTGTGGCTCCGCAGGAGCATCCGGGGTTCTGGCCACATGGCCGATGCTCACGGGCAGGCGCCACAGCTCTTACCTGGCTGGCGAGAGAGAGGATGAATGCCCAGTCTTCCTGCCACTGTTCTTCCCTCAGGGAAAAATGTAAACCGAAGCTCTGAGAATACCACGATTCCCAATCTTTCCAACGTGTGTAAAACCTAGAAAAAATGAGACAGTAAAAAATATGCCTCTATAAACAGAACGTTTAATGTCCAATCATTTATTTAATGTAGTTTTTAAGCATCTCAGTGAAAAGATTACCCCTTTTATTCATTTTACCTGGCTTGCAATATATTTTTCAAATTAAAAATGCTTCCAGCCGAAACCGGTTTGGCTCAGTGGATAGAGCGTCGGCCTGCGGACTGAAGGGTCCCGGGTTCGGTTCCGGTCAAGGGCATGTACCTGGGTTGCGGGCATATCCCCAGTAGGAGGTGTGCAGGAGGCAGCTGATCGATGTTTCTCTCTCATCGATGTTTCTAACTCTCTATCTCTCTCTCTTCCTCTCTGTAAAAAATCAATAAAATATATTTAAAAAAAAATAAAATAAAAAAAAATAAAAATGCTTCCACTCTGCAGCAGCCATCTTTTAACACGTCCTCAGACATAATCGGGCTCACTACCCACCAAATCTTCACCAGAACTTCCAACATTAGAGATGAGAACAGTCATTTCAATTGTCTACTATAGGTCTACAAATTAAAAAACAACCACACTAAAAATCATCTGAGAGGCTGGGTCCAGTCAGTCAGGCCTTCCTCCACGAGTGCAGGGCAGTCACGCCTGGTCACTAACAACAGGCTGGAAACGCCACGTGTTCCTGAGAATATCGAAGCCACTTCCTTGAGATTTCTTGCACTAAACAGAATTATATCTCTATGATTATCTACAGAAACAATTCCTTCTTTATATTTAATACCCCGCTAAATACTTGCCACAAAGCTACCCATCGTCAGACCGTCTGATGATGGCTAAAGACAGACGGGTCAACAGCAAGAAAACAGTTCAGAAACAACCTCTACTTTTATGGTCAGATAATTTTCAACAAAAGCACCAGAGCAATTAAATGGGAAAGCAAGAGTCTCTTCCATCAACGACCCGGGACAGTCAGACACCCACAAGCAACGCAAATGGTTTTACTGCCTCACACCTTCAATAAAAATCAGCTCAAAACAGATCATAAGACACTAAATGTAAAAGCTGGAACTGTAAAATTCTTAGACAAACATAGGAATAATGCTTTCAAATGTTACTTTTAAAATTTAAAACAACATGATTCATATGCTAAGGGCTCTGACGGGTAACAGACAGCGGGCAGGACAGATGGCATGTCAACAGAGCTGGCAATCCTCAGCGAGGGCCGAGAAGAAAGGCCCGAGGAGAACCCAGGCGGAGGAAGACGGCCTCCCAGGGGCCTGTCGGAGGATCGCCCCTGAGGACACGCCCGCAGCTGGAGGGCGTGACAACAGAAACTTCCCAAGCGGAAAAGAATGAGAACACGAATGGAAATGAGAGAGAGAATTCCGAACAACTGCGGGCTGCAGAAGATGTCTGTGCAACATCATGGAAGTAACAGAAGAAATATTTGAAACACTAATGACAGACTTTCCCCAAACTAATGTCAGACCACAAACCCAAGAGGCTAAGAAAGCACTGAGGAAAATGCCAGAGAAACGTTAAGTAGGCAGGATCGTATTCAAACTACAGGAAATTAAAGAAGAGTTCTTGAACGAAACCTCCAAGGCAGACTTGTAAACTACAGTGCCCAGAACCCACCTTCACAGGCAAAGAATTCATTACTTCCCATTCATCCTCAGAAACCTTGCAGACAAGAAGAAAATGGAATGAAATATTTTTTAAGTTTGGAGAAAAAAACACCACCTAGAATTCGTCCCCTGTGAAATTATCCTTCAAAAGGGAAGAACTAAAGACTTTCTCAGACAAAAATTGAAAGAATTTGTTGCCATACTCCTGCCTCACAAAAAATGTCGAAAATTCTTTAGAGAAAATCTGTGTACGAATCAGAAACTCTGAGCTACATAGAGAGCGTCGAACAGCGAAGACCTAAGTGAAGGGAAGGGGAGAGCCATCCCTTCCGAGGGACACCTTTCGGAAGCTGACACGTCCCTCGGGCACCTCGCGGGCTCGCCAGGGCCTTCCCGGCGCCTGCAGGTGGTGGCGGCAGCGCGTTCGCTCAGCGGTGGCCGGGCTCAGGAGCCGCGTGCTGCCCCTGCTTTCTGATGCTAGCGAGGCTTCCGCCCGGTGCGTGCTCCCCGCGTGCTTTCTGCCCGGCAGGCTACTCACGGCCCTGAAACTTCCACAGTGAGAGACACCACCACCTCCCGTGGAGTTTGCAGTCTCATGGGCTTCATGTCACCCTCCACACTGACAAGCACTTACGGCTGGCGGGCGCGGGCTCAGGAGTGTGTGAAGAGACTAAGGCAGTAAGTTACCTGGCGCAGGCCACGGTCACTGCTGTGTCAGCATTCCATTAGGTAGGTGTGTGAGAAAAAGCACATTTTGATACTGAGGTAGGGAAAATAGTACATTTTTAAATGACCCTGCTACTTACTACCTTCGACAATGGTAAGTTTAATTTAGCCTCTCTCAGTCTCAATTTTCTCATTTATAACTAAATGACACTGTATGCACAAAACCAAGAAAATAGCCTAAGTCAAATAAATGTAAAGACCATACTACTGATTCAGAAACAGGCATCGTTTCCAGTGTCTGACCCCTCAGTGGGTAAACTTGTTTTATCAGAGCTGTACTGCAACATAAAAAACTGGTCTGAAAACCACCTGCGCCTCCGGAAGAAAAAGCGTTCACAATACAATGGCAACTATCTTTTAAAGGTGAGTGACATAGAGCCACTTACAAACATGAGCAAAGACCGTATTAGTGGATAAGGCTCCTACTACAACTTCCGGCATTTCTACTTTAAAGCTCGGCAAAAAGGTCTAAAAACCACTGAGATGTTCAAGTGTCTCCATGTCCAAACCCAAGCTTTTTCTCCCTGAGCTTCCCCAGAACCTGGACCAGACGAGCAGTGCCCCCGCCCCCGGGCGGGCTCGGCAGCACACTCACCAGTGGGAACAGTCGTGCAGGCTGTCGTGCAGGGCTTTCCGAAGCACCGAGTCCTTGTCGTAGATGCCCCAGGTCGCTTGCAGCACTGAGTCCAGCAGGCAGTCTCCCGCCGTCCGGTTCCAAAGGGCGTAGAGCCGACTGTCCAGGCGCGTAGCCAACTCCAAGGACCAGTTTATGATCGGAGACTCCTCCTCCAGCTCTAATGAGGGAGGAAACAGCACGTTCGTGTCACACCTGCTTCAGAGCGATTCGATGGAGGAAAGAGCTTATTCTCCAGGTGTTAGTGGGTTTGTGTGCAATCTACGAATAAACACCTAAATAAATTTGTCAGGTGAAATATAAACCTTTTGAGTAGCCCAAACAGCTGTGGCTCTAGGTTAGATTATTTATTAATTAGTTAAATTCTTTACAATTAATTTTCTAAAGTCATATGGAATAAGAAGCTGAAAACCAGTAATTGTTATTTGTTCACTATCACAGCTAAGAGAATGAGCCTTTTTAACAGCACAATATGACATTATTAAGGATTTTACATTCTTAATTTAAGTAAAAATAAAACAAGTTGACCATACACTAAACGACTGCAAACCAAACTACCGGTAAATTACACAACCAAGTACGAAGTTTACTGAAACGGATGGGGTCCCCACACACGCTGCTCCACGCCTACCTTTTTGAACATCTCTGTCCAGCACCTCATCAAACACCTTTTCTTGGACCGTCGGAGGCAAGTCCTCAATATCTACAAAGAAAAGGAGTCTTAGGAAGTCTTCCTATGTCTCACATCCAAGTTGCCACTTTAAATATCTGTTCATTTTATGTCAATCACAGCTCAATAAAGATGAAATAAAAGGACAAAAAATAATAAGGCTATCTGATATTCAAATAATAATAATTAACGACACGAAGTTTCATCTATTCTCTTCCCACATTCTCAATCTCTGCGCAGGCCTGTTAATTTTTCAGACTTTAGAGCCCTCTTATAAAAGTTACTGAACCAGCCCTGACACAGCGGGGCTCAAGGGTTGAGCAACCCATGAACCAAGAGGTCGCTGGTTCGATTCCCAGTCAGGGCACGTGCCCAGGTTGCAGGCTCCATCCCCAGTAGGGAGCATGCAGGAGGCAGCTCCCTCTCCTTTTCTCTCTCAAAAAATCAATAAAAACATATTTTTAAAAAGGCTTAGTTATTATCTCCTACTTTTTGTAAATGTTCCTGTTCACATCTGAATATAAAAGCTGAAAACACTCAGAACCAAGATGGAAGATACTTTTGAAACTTTTGGTGTTTGGTGCATTTATTGAATGAAAAATGAAAAGTTGCTTTAAAGATATAGAAATCAATGCAACAAGAAAGTAAATGATCCTTTCAAAAGAATGCCAGTATCTTTGATTCAAACAACTTGATTCTTTTTTAAAAAAAATATGTATTTTTATTGATTTCAGAGAGGAAGGGAGAGGGAGAGAGAGATAGAAATATCAATGATGAGAAAGAATCATTGATTGGCTGTCTCCTGCATGCCGCACATTGGGGACTGAGCCGGCAACCCGGGCATGTGCCCTTGGCCGGAATCGAACCTGGGACCCTTCAGTCCACAGGCCAATGTTCTATCCACTGAGCCAAACCAGCTAGGGCAAACAACTTGATTCTTAATTTCAAAATATTAGGCATGAAAAGAAGAAGAAGAAAAAAAGTAGACTGATAATACTTTAAAATAAAGCCAAAGGGAAAAACAAATGGGTTAGGCAGATTTTTAAAATATCTGAGGCCCACAAAGCAGTCAGTCACCAGTGGCTGTCCTCCCCCCAGGTCCACTGTAAGTTCACGAGCCGCTCCTGCACTGGTCACTTCCAGTAAACACAGGAGAGTCAAGTAACTGCAGATGCACACATAATAGCTTCCTGAGAGAAACATTCTCTAGACATAAAAAATGACTGTAATAGTGGAAAGTCTTTTCCCACTGCAATGTGGAGTCACCTGCCGGCAGCGTGAACGTGACCAGGTCGGTGAGGAAGTAGCAAGCGAAGTCCCCCTTCCGCTGGTGGAGAGAGGCCGCGATCTCCCGCCGGATCTGCTCCGTCAGCTCGGGACACACCATGGCGGGAATACACTTGGCTGCTTGCTGAGACACCTTCAACACAAAAGACATGTTCCTCTGCACCCCGTGCCAGCAGGAGCAGAAGACACCAGTGTTCAAAGGACTTACCAGCATCCCCAGGAACAGAGGTGGTATTTTGTTTTTTTAATTTTAAACTGCACTGGGTATGGGTATAATTTCCCTACCAGTGCAGGGGGCATCAGTACATCATTCCAGGAAAACAGCCAGTTAGCCTCTGGCTCAGTAATTCCCAAGAATTTATTCCCAAGGAAATATACAAAGATGCACATATGAAAACATATGTAAAATGGTGTTGTTCCCAAAGGCTCATCCTAGGAGGGGAGGGAGGACAGTACACAACCTACATTAAGACTACCCATCATGCCCCCAAATAAAAACATTCTTAAAAACAGGGAATTCCAGCTCATGGGGAAACGGAGAAACACTCCTCTCTCCCGCTCTGCTGAGACTGTTTCACGTACCCTGACCTGGAATAAAGCAAACACGCTATTTATAAAGGGTTAGTTCCTGCTGACTTCAAGGCCCTCTCCATCTCTATAATTCTGGATTTTTACCAAAGCACCTGGCTTCCCCACGGGTGGAACAGACAAGACAGCAAACGCTGGAAGCCCGGCCCTCAGGAGAGAAACAGGAGCGCTGGCGCAGTGAGCACCGCACAGAGCCGGCCGGGAACGGCTAGACTCTCCTTTTAAATGACCAACAGCAACAGATGATGGAAAGATGTCACTTCCCACTGAAGCTGGGCTCCTGGCATGCAGAGAGTGCCGGGTCAAGGCTGATATCGACAGGAGGGAATGCGTGAGTCCGGGGTGGCCAGACTGCAGCCACGACCCAGCGGGCTTCCCGAATGGAGGGTCCCAATCTTCCAATAAGCCGCCCAGAGAGTCAGCTTTACGGACCATGTCATCTATGTAATATATGCAGAGAACTCAACTGTAACTGCTATTAAGGGAAGTAAACAGTTTCAAAAACCCTGTATCCCCCACGCAGCCACCCGTCGTATCATTCTGAAACTCTCCATGACAATTCGGTCCCACTAACCCAGTGGTCGGCAAACCGCGACTCGCAAGCCACATGCGGCTCTTTGGACCCTTGAGTGTGGCTCTTCCACAAAATACCACGTGCGGGCGCGCAAGTACAGTGCGAAGTTGACTTAAAACTTTAAGTTTATTAAGTTAATTTTAGGGAACGTTGTGGAATGAAAGAAGATGTAGTGTCGAGGACTGAGAAAGGTATGTTGAGATGGTTTGGACATACAGAGAGGATGAACGAAAGGAGATAGATGAAACAAGTATACAAGACGAGTGTGGATGGGAGAGTTGGAAGGGGTCGACCTCAGCGAATGTACCTCAATCAGACTGAGGACGTTTTTAGCAAAGGCCAGCTTAGGAGTCCCCTAATTAAGTTAATAACAATGTACCTACCTGTATAGTTTAAGTTTAAAAAATTTGGCTCTCAAAAGAAATTTCAATCGTTGTACTGTTGATATTTGGCTCTGTTGACTAATGAGTTTGCCGACCACTGCACAACCGGATGTAATGAAATCCTCACTACATCTTAACTCCAGAAACCCAGTCTGTGACACTTATATAAAACCAAATATTAAATATGCTCAGAAAATAACTGCCTGTTTCACACCAGTGTTAAAATGATTCCCAAAAGTAAGTTAAAATTAGCTTATTCCAATCTGCCAACCTTCAGTCCCTTTCCGAAAACCTGGGGAATTTTTCCAAAAACGACTGGACTGAAACAGGAAAGCTGCCAATAGCTGGCGGCTGGCCTCCCCGTCCCCTGCGCCCTGCCCTGGAGCATGAATGTCCCTGAACCCTGCCCCCACCTCTCGTCTCTCCCACCTCAGGACTCAACCATCTCCTTAGGCCAATAGCCCTTAACTTTGGGCCGTGAACTTGGGCAAGGTCCCATGAACTTGAATAGCAATTTTAGTTAAATTTTAATCCTACATTTTTACTAACCTTGTGCCTAAATTTAAAAGGCACTTTCTTATATATCACAGATTTGATTTAGCATTGTGATAACTGTATTTCAATATACAGTTGAACCTTGAACAACATGGGTTTGAACTGCGTGGGCTCACTTACATGTGGATTTTTTCAATGAGTACTGTAAATGTGTACAAGGTCATACCCCTTTATTAGCAGTGCCTGGCACATGGTAGGTCCTCAATAAATATTTGTTAGTGGAATGAATAACAGATACATCCCAGTTTTTAAGTCAAGTATAACTCAATATTGTGGCAAAATGTCCTGTTTTAAAGCATATACCCTTAAAAATTATATACTGTTTAAGTCTCAAGCTTAATATAACTTTTTAAAGGGGATAAAAGAATCTGAAATATTTCAGAACTGTTTAGAGAAACATTGTAAGAACTGTTAAAGAAACACTGTCACATTAAAAAAAAAAGAAAGAAAAGAAAAAAGAACACACACAAGAGAAAAAAACAAAAGAACACATTCCCGCCTGTAAAGAGCTTCTGCTGAGCTCACCTCCGTGAGCAGGATGGCGAGCATGTCCTGCCGCTGGAAGCGGATGGCCAGGTGCACCAGCGTGTAGCCCACGTCGAAGGCGGAAGGGCGGTTCAGCAGGCGCACCTCATCCGCAGTGAGCTGCCGGGCGATGTCCCCTCCTGACGACTTGTAGGCTTCGATAGCAGCTAAATCGCCCTCTACAACCCCTAAAACAGCATCAAGATAGAAAGGAGTGTCAGTCTATTGTTCTCCAAAAAGCATGAACCTGCAGCATCCGCTCTAAACTCTAAATGTTTCTCTGTGCTTCCTGGGTCGGCACAGCCTAAATGCCCTCAAGAACACACGTAAAGTCAGGGGACTCCCCGCCCTTCACTCTCTTCCAGGACGGGCATGCCTGCCCCCCCATCAGGCGTGGCACTTACCTTCCCTCAGTGCTGGCTGCCCGCTCGTGGGGGTCAGAGGAGTGATCAGAATAGAGGAGTTGGGGGGAGACCAGGAATCTGGTGTGAGAGGAGCCCTCACGAGACCTGGCGCCTGCCCTGCCTGCTTCCTGGGCACTGGGCACGGAGCCCCTGAGCTGCCTTTTCAAAGGTAACTCAAAACGAGGGCTGAGCCTTCCACACTGCGGTGGCTTTGAAACAACGTAGAGCAATTAAACCATTTTCAATGTTAAGTGCAAGCTAGCAATACTCTGACGTCAGAATCTCTCAGTCAAGTCTCTCTTACACCCATTAAGAATTATTAAAACTTCAGTAACACTTGAAGCAGATGATCCTGAACAAAACGTGCTAAAACAAAACAGTAAACAGCAAGTGGAGCCCTAGCCGGTGTGGCTCAATGGAAAAAGCGTCGGCCTGCGGACTGAAGGGTCCCAGGTTCGATTCCGGTCAAGGGCATGTACCTTAGTTGCAGGCACATCCCCAGTAGGAGGTGTGCAGGAGGCAGCTGATCGATGTTTCTCTCTCATCGATGTTTCTAACTCTCTCTCCCTCTCCCTCTCCCTTCCTCTCTGTAAAAAAATTAATAAAATATATATTTAAAAAATAAATCAATAAATAAAAATAAACAGCAAGTGGAGAGATAAAACAAGTATCACCTTCTCCAAATCCATAAGGAACTTTCCATTCCCACTGAACCACATTATTAATCTCAACACAAATTAACGCTGGGTGAAGGCAGTGACCCTAGTCACGAAGCCTTGACAGAAAAATAAAGGTGCTGGTGAGCTTCAAATGCACCACAAACATCTGAAAATAAGGCAAGCACCACGACTGCAGGCCCAGGAGACTGCGGGTGGGTCCTGGCACTAACCGAGCCTATGCTTAGTGTAGTCTACAGTGTCTGTCGCTGCACCCTTGAATTAGGAATTGGATAAATAAGAGCTATTCCTGGGAGTAGGACATGGCACAGTTATTAAGAATGACCAAGCTTTAAAATGAGAATTCAATTCCCACCTCACTAAGTGCCGGGACATGCAGAGCACTACGCTAGGCCACGTGAGGAACACCAAGACAGTAAAACATGATTCCTCAACTCAGAACTGTCCTTTGTCATCACATGTGTATGCCAGGAACAGCCAGCATCGAAAGTGTCCAAACTCTGGGGCCAAAAATCCTTCTGGAAATCAACATCCTGTCCCCAGAGAAATGACCTTTCCAGCCACACACGTTTCCAGGTGCGGAATCCATGAGGCGCATTTCTGTTCCCAGCAGCCGAGACGAATGCGTTCCTCAATGTAAAGGCCAGGGACAGCTGGAACCCCACCCCCAAGACATAAAGGGCTTCCAAACACCCTGTGGTGTGACACAGGAATGCTCCCAGCACTTCTGCAGCAGACCAAGGCCCGAAAAGTCCGACCCCCGCCCTGAGGAGGTCGGAGGAAGGCCAGCCGCACTGGTGTGTGCGTGTACAACGCACACGGGCGCTTTTATCTCCTGAAGCTCACCAGCAATTTCTGTCTTTTGTCTGGAGAAAGGGGAGATCTTCCAAATCACAATGTTCCTATTTTTAGCTACCTCGCTGCTGAGAATCTCCTCTTAGACAGTCTTGCTTAAGAGTTCATTTCCTCTCTAAAGCTTCTGAGGGATTTCTGTTAGTAGAGACTCAGCAGCACAGCGTGAGGGGGAAAGGGAGTACAGACCAGATACCAAATAGCATGACAAAGTGAGCAAGAGGCTTCCGAGTCCTGGTTACAACGTCACCCCGTCTGCCTCCAAATACAGGGTTTAAACCTGCGAACGGAACTTCCCAGGGGTGAGCTGTGTATCAACTGAGCTGACAGAGTGCAATTCCTAAGCCGACAAAGGCTCGCGCCCCACCCCAGCTCTGCATAAGCTGCAGGTGCGACTGCACGTCCCCAGCAGAGGGTGAGGGTGAATAGAGATGCTGCCCTCCATTCTTCAGTGTGAAATTCTCCAAACTTCTCAGAACATGAAAAACACAAACTTAAGTATAGGCACAAAGTAGTATTTAAAAGGAAAGCAATTTATTATCTGATGTCTTGGGAATGTATTTTTTTTCATGAACCATAATTAAAAGCTCACCAGTTACTGGAGAGTTTTCAGCTACAAAGGTGAGTAAATTTATTACAAATAAAATTTCACAAGAGAATCACGGACCGGTCCTCATTACTGGTATGTCCTATTACACGTCGTTCAAGGGGAGCCACTGATCAAGTTTAGGCAGTTTCTTGAAAGGTGGGTATCCCTGTACACATGGTGTTCAAAAGGGGTTGGCCCACACTTGGATAACCTAAAAACTTAGCTACCACATGTTTTCTACTTGGGGGGTAAAACAGCGTATGTGCAAAATAACTTATAAAATGCCTTTGAGTTCCTCATATAACATTGCATTTCTACCACTCGTTAATATTAGGGAATAAAAGGGAAATAGGAAGGTAGAGGAGTTGGTAGGTAGTGAAAGAGCAAATCCTTGTCAGCGGTAAAATCTCAACATCAGAGAGCGGGGAAAGCAGGGTCGTTCTAGCAGAGGAGAGAGTCCAGATGCTTCTGGCTGCGGACATCTCACCTGCCTCCAAGAGTAACTGAGCCTCCCGCTCTCACAAGTGCTTTGACACGGCCGTCACTTCCCCATTCACACTAAGAAGGCAAATAAAGGACAGCTAAAGCCACTCTGAGGATCAGCTTTTAGGGCTTTAATTCAAAACTGATGGAATGAAATACATGCCTGGCTAAGCAGTGGAGCAGTTACAGATAAAGAAGTGTTAGGAGACTTTAAACATGAAGACCAGAGAGTAAATGAAAGATACCATATTATAGGTTATCTATAATAATAAAAGCGTAATATGCTAATTAGACCGGACAACCTTCCGGCTGCGAGGGAAGCCGGTGCCGGCAGCTGGGGGAAGGCCAGCTCTTGCACGAATTTCGTGCATCGGGCCTCTACTAAAATATAAACTTGTTAAGGAAAACAAACACGTATACTATTGTTGTGTAGCTGGGCCAGAATTTAATATACAGAGTGGGCAAAAGTAGATTAACAGTTGTGAGTATGCAAAACGGTCTCTCCCTGTATTGCTGTTTATTCACTGCTGTATTTTTATTACGAGCAGCTGTACACCTGCTTCGGCTCCCCTGCGTTTGGAGCCACAGGCATAGCTCACAGGGACCTCATAGCTACTATGGAACTCCTAGTCGGGAGATGGAGCTGGCTTGTAGATGTTTAGAAAACAGACTTATTTTTCCCCCATGTATGGCACAGTTTTCAAAGTTTTGCCTTATTTTATTTTATGACAAAATCATAATGGTAACTAACTTTGAAAAGAATGCCAAATGGTTTAAAAAAAAGCCAGGACTTACCTGAGCCCACACGGGCCGGGCCAGCCCACCACTACCCTGGAGTTCTATGGTAGCTGTGAGAGCACAGCATGCTTTATGCTGGGGGGCAGGGTGCACTTGGAGTCAGCTTGCACACTGTCGGGAGCCCTTAAAGAGAAAAGTTGGTTTTAAGTGGGAATGTTCAGAACGCCCTTCACCGTGGGCAGCAGAAGCTGCGGCTGTGGCTGGCTAGTGTCTGGGTGCCTCTTCCTCTAGCAGAGTTTAACTCACTTGGCTGGTTTTGCATATTAAAAGGAAACTATACCACCCTGAATGCCTTTTCTTTATACGCCTAACTATTTGGCTATAGTTCCATCAGGAACTTGGTTTAGTCACAGCAATCTCTTTCCTTTTTTTCTTTTTCTTTTGGTTAATCCTCACTTGAGGATATTTTTCCATTGATTTTTAGAGAGAGTGGAAGGGAGAGGAAGAGACAGAGAGGGAGAAACATCAATGTGAGAAAGACACATGGGTTGGTTGCCTCCTGCACGCACCCGACCAGGGCTAAGATCCAGCCTGCAACCGAGGTGCATGCCCTTGACCAGAGCGTAACTCGGGGCGCTTCAGTCCGCAGGCGAATGCCCTCCAATAAGCCAAACCGGCTTAACCAGGAGCTGCTTCGTAAATAAAACGAGCAATAGTTGTTGTTTTTTTGTTTGTTTGTTTTGTGTGTGTTTTTTTAATATATTTTATTGATTTTTTTACAGAGAGGAAGGGAGAGGGATAGAGAGTTAGAAACATCAATGAGAGCGAAACATCGATCAGCTGCCTCCTGCACAACCCCCCCTGGGGATGTGCCCACAACCCAGGTACATGCCCTTGACCGGAATCGAACCTGGGACCTTTCAGTCCGCAGGCCAACGCTCTATCCACTGAGCCAAACCGGTTAGGGCAATAGTTTTAAGTGTACCTTCAAGTAGGTGCAAGCTCCGTGGCAATCCCAAAAATAGTTTGAGCAGACAAAACAAATCGCCTCTAGATGTATTTTTCATACACTAACCAATGGCAACAAGTTAAAATCTTCCATTTCTATTCCCACAATAGTGCTATAAAGTCATAACCCTTTCAAAAGGCCAAGAGATGAGAATCACAATTGGAAATAAATCCTTAATTTAAACTAATCTATTCTACATCAAGATGAGCTTCTACTCAACTCATTCCATAAACTCACTCCATTAGGAAAACATCCTCTGTAGAAATAAATATGAGTGTCAATGACAGGAAGTCAAAAGAGTTTCTAATTAGGCTTTTAAATGTTCTATTATTAATCATGACAAACTATGCCAAACACAGCTTATCCTCTGGAGATCTTACCTCCTTGCCTTTGATCAGATTGTTAGCAACCCCACTGCTGTGGAAATATAAATGCC